CCTGCCTCTCCCACCCGAAGTCCCAGAGGCGGAGGGCGCCTGCCTCTGTGCCTGCACCTGCCCTCTGTCTGTGGGAGGCTGTGCGTTGAGTTTGTTACAGAAACCCAAGTGCTCACTTTTCAGCACTGCCCTCCCCCGCAGCTGTTGCTGGCGTGCGCGAGACAGACAGCAAGATCTACCTGCTGGTGAAGGAGGAGAAGAGGTATGCGGACGCCCAGCTGTCCTGCCAGGGCAGAGGGGGCACACTGAGTATGCCCAAGGATGAGACAGCCAACGGCCTGATGGCCGCGTACCTGGCGCAGGCTGGCCTGGCCCGCGTCTTCATCGGCATCAACGACCTGGAGAGAGAGGGCGCCTTCGTGTACTCGGATCGCTCCCCCATGCAGACCTTCAACAAGTGGCGCAGCGGGGAGCCCAACAACGCCTATGACGAGGAGGACTGTGTGGAGATGGTGGCCTCCGGGGGCTGGAACGACGTGGCCTGCCACATCACCATGTATTTCATGTGTGAGTTTGACAAGGAGAATGTATGAGCAGGCGGCCACGTGGAGCCGGCCTACCCGTCTCTGCTTGGGACAGCAGGGCAGCTGGTGCGGGCTCCCAGGCCACGGGGGCAGCTGGTGAGCTGTCCCTCTGCAAGGAAGAGAGCTATTTCAGTGCAGAGGCTCAAGAATCAGACGGTGATTTGCTGGGACCTTAGAGTGGCATATGCTTAACAGGAAAAAGAGGGTGTTTCTGGGGGTGCTATTTCTGAAGTACAGTTTCCTTACCTGTATTGTAGCCAAAATGTTAATTATGTGATTATTACTCAGAATTGCTCTTCCATAAAGCTCTTGCTTTTGTCCAAACTATAAAATAAGATCTTTAAACATTGTAATAATTAAGAACAAATAATGGTAGTGAGGTATTGAATGACTACCTTCCTTTTAACTTCTGTATGGACAAGAACCCACCTAACTTTGACCAATGTTTCTGTAAATTGCATTAAAATATAGGTTTTTTTTCACTATTATCTGAGTAAAAACAATTTTGCTTTGCCTCAAATCCATATTTTAGGAAAACAACAACAAAAAAGTCTCTAAATTTCTTAATGTTCTTAATTTCTTCAATAGCTGTGTTAGTTATCTACTGCTATGCAACAAACTACCCCAAAACCTAGTGGCCAAGGACAGAAATGTTCATGATCTCTCAGATCAGGAATGTGTGCAGGGCTCAGCTGGGTCCTTTACCTCAGGGTGTCTTTCAAGCTAGAACCAAGATCACTCATCGTGTGGTTTGGGCAGGATTCGGCTCCTCATGGGTTGTTGCACTGAGGGCCTCAGGTTCTCGCTGGCTGTGGGCCCTCGGTTCCTCATCACATGAGCCTCTCCACTGGGCAGCGGCCCTTTTGGAACAGCCAGAAAGAAGAGCCACAGAGAGAGAAGTCGTAGCCTTTTATAACCAAGTCTGGGAAGTGACAGGCTGCATTTGCCTCTTTTTGTTGCTACAATGGAATAGCTGAGGCTGAGTAGCTTATGACACAAAGAGGATTGTTTGGCTTACAGTTCTGCAGGCTGTACAAGGTGCACATCACCAGCAGCTGTGTCTGCTTCTGGTGAAGACCACAGGCTGCTTCCATGCATGGCAGTAGGGGAGGGGGAGCCAGCGTGTGCGGGTCACATGGTAAGAGAGAGCGAGCAAAAAAGAAAAAGAGGGGAGGGGCCAGGCTTTCTTTCACAACCAGTTCCCAAGGGAACTAATAGAATGAGAGCTCATCCATTACTGTAGGGACAACACCAAGCCATTCATGAAGGATCTGCTCCCATGACCTGAACACCTGCCATCAGATCCCACCTCCAACACTGGGATAAAATTTCTTTTCTTTCTTTCTATTTTGCATTTAAAAAATTTTAAACAATTTTTATTAGACAGACATTCCCAAAGTATATTCATAGATATTAAAAGAAAAAAGAGTTTTCAGCTAAATTCAAGAAACTCTATGTTAACAAAGTTAAGCAGCTTTACTGCAGGACTTCTCCATACTTCTTGGCTTTTTTTTTTTTTAAGTTGAGGTCTCACTCCATTGCCCAGGCTGGAGTACAGGGGCATGCTCACGGCCACCCCAGCGTCAACCTGTTGGACTCCGGGGATCCTTCCGACTCAGCCTTCCAAGTAGCTGAAACTACAGGTGCGTGCTAACACGCCGGGCTAAGTTTTTGATTTTTATTGTAGAAATGAGATCCCACCAAGTTGCTCAGGCTGTTCTCGAACCCATGGGCTCAGGAAATCCCCTCACCTTGGCCTCTCAAAGTGCTGGGATTATGACTTGAGCCACCGTGCCCAGCCCCTTCTCGGTACTTGTAATATGCTAGTATATAGCATTTGTCTTAGCTTGAGCCGCTATAACAAAGTACCATAAAGTAGGTGATTTATAAACAACAAAAACCACATTTCTCACAGTTTTGGAGGCTGAAAGTCTAAGATTAGGGTGCCAGAATCTTCAGGTTCTGGTGAGGATATTTCTCCAGGTTGCTGACTGCCAACTTCTCATTGTATCACATGGTAGAAAGCGGTATCAAATTTCAACATGAGATTTTGAGGGGTCAAACAAAGCAAACCATAGCACTTGCTGCCACTTCTGCTGTGTTCTATTCATCCGCTAGAAGGGAGTCACCAGGTCCAGGCCACACACAAGGGTGAATACCTGGAAACAGGGACCACTGGGAGTCATTTCAGCTGCATCTTGCAAGGGAGGCACTGACCTCACTGCCCTTTTTTCTTGGTTATCTATTCAGGATGTGTGTATAGTGAACTGTCTTGGAAGATAAAGATAGCATCTCTCTCTTTACTACCTCTCTGGAAAAAAGGCAGGTTTGTTTACAGCCTTGCAAGACAAAGATAGTGTCTAGTTCTGGGGCCACAGGCAACCACAGCTACTGTCCAGTATAATGAAGATAATGTCTCCCTCCAGAGGAAAGGGCAGGCATGCTTACTCTCTGCTGTAAAGGATTCAGGTCCCCAAGGCTCAAGAGTCCTCCCTGTCACTGACCCACTGCATGTGAAACTCTGTATGGATTGAGGCTCAGGATACTGGTGTGAAATGCTAATGCTGTAGCCACTGCTGTTGCTAGAAGTAATAAAATCCATTTCTTTGACCCAGGAATCTCACGTCTTCTGTTAGCATCTATGAGACTCTGGTGCTAAGTAGAGAAAAATCTGAGTCCCTTCACAATTCTTGATGGAAATTTTTTTGATATTTCCATGAATTTAATTATCCGCCTCATCAAAAAGTCATCGCAAACAAGTTTAATGAGGTATTATGGATCTGAGAGGTACCTGGTTTGGTAGGAAAGAGGAGTGCTTTGTGGAGCAGAATCAAGTGAATGATACACAGCCAGAAAGCAAGGAGCTGCTGCCACGTCTGTTGGAAGGAAACCATTTGGAAGCAGCCAGGTTTTTCTTTTTTCTTTTTTTTCTTCATCTGCCCAGACTCTGTATATAGAGTCTGATTCTTTCTACTAGTGCTTATATCTGTCTGCTGCTTATAAGTTACTGCATCCATCTATCAGTTCATTCATCAATCTGTTCACCCAGTCATTCACTTACTCAAGTCTCTTAAAATTTCTACTCTGTTTCTGACTCTGTCGGACCTGTGGCTTTCATTGTAACAGCTCCATCCAGTATCTGAAATGTAGCTTTAAGAGTCAGGGAATGACACTGTGTATGTGGAGGGGGGGCAATGCTGTGTGTGAGGAGGGCTGTCACTGAGCAGGTTGTCTTGGTGGTAGAGGGGCAAGTTCTCCTGGTCTCATAGGCTGCACCCTGCCTTCCACCAGCCACGTGAGGATGCAGTCGCTCTTCTGCAGTGGACAGGCAAGGAGGCCATGGGAGGTGGACGTCCTGGAGGCGGCAACACCAGGGAGCCAGGCAGAGCTGGCCAGCCTCTCCCTCTATTAGTTGCGAGTCTGGGTACTTGAGCTGTGAGAAAAAGGAGAGCTCGTTGGCCTAGAGAGGTTTGTCCTCTTTTGTAGTTCTTCCCCCTTAAGGAGTAGCGGTAATTATTTTAATGGATGAGTCTTATTCATTATGCTGAGTGACTTCTCCCCGACATGAAGCCCAGTCAAATAGGAAAGAACGTCTTCCCATCTGTCTTTAATTAGGCATTCATGGTCTTCAAGCCTGCTTTGCCAAGGCTGGGGGCTGGGGAGGAGGCGAGGCTCTTCCTGGCTTTGGAAGACTCTCATTTGCACACATGGCTCTGTCCATGTGAGGCTGGCTGGCTCTTCTTCGCCTGCCCAGTGGAATCTGTTGCCTGCGAAGACTTCCTGGGTGCCCCTTGTCCACCAGTACTCACATGCAGCTGCAGGGTCTGGGTGCTGTCCACAGAAGGGCGTGGAGACCCTGTTTCCATATGCGGATGCTTCTCCGTTACCGGGTCACCAGAGAAGGCCTGCCAGCCTGGGCCTCTACTCCCACAGGGCTGCCTGCAGCGTCTTTGTCTGAGTGTCCATGGGGCTGTGAGCTGTCTGCCTCTCCCTTTCCTGCTCTGCTCCAATGTCATGCCCGTTTTCTTGCAAATCAACTTGAGCAAACATCTACCTGTTCCAACATCTCATCCAATGACTCGCTGTGTCCTGAACTGGGACAAGTATTTCAGTAAATTATTTAAACTCTTTAAGCCTTGGAATTCTTATGTGTGGAATTAATGACTTTTGTGCCTACCTTTGGGGTCTTGTAAGAATTTTGTGACACGGTGTACATGAAGCACTCAGCAAGGTTGAGTACTGAGTGTTTAGCACCACAGACAAGGAAAGCCCCCAGTGAAAGACAACAATGACAATAACCTAGTACATAATCCTTCCAGACATTGCCCATTCTTTTTTTTTTTTAGAAAGCAAGATTTATTGAGAAGACAGAAAATCTTCCATGGTGGCAGGGGACCTGAGGGAGTTGCAATTAAAAATAATTTTTTTTCAAGATGTGGGGTAAAATTCAGAGTTAGGTATACAAGTTTATTATGCAAGTACCCTTGTTGATGAGGTGTGCCCCTCCCCTGGCAGTTTCCCACTACTGCCGATCCTTTTCTTGTTGTATTATGATAATTGTTCAAGTTCTGCTTATGAGTGAGAACATGTGGTACTCAGTTATTTCCTTCTGTGATAGCGCACTCGGCATTATAGACTCTAAGTCCTTCCAAGTTGCTGTGAAGTTCTTCTTTATGGCTGTGCAATATTCCATCATGTATGTGTACCACATTTTAAAAATCCAGTCCTCTTTTGATGGGCAGCATGGTTGGTTCCATGTTTTTGCTGTTGTGAATAACGCTGCAATAAACATGCATGTGCAGGTATCTTTTTCATAGAGTGATTTGAGTTCCTCTGGGTATATTCCCAGAAGGGGGATTGTGGGGTCATATTGAGGGTTGATTTTTAGATCTTTTAGGAATTGCCAAACTGTTTTCCATGAGGTTGTACTAGTTTATGCTCCCACCAACAGTGTAGAAGTGTTCCCCTTTCCCCACATCCTCTCCAGCATCTGTTGTTTTTTAAGTTATTGATGATAGTAATCCTGACTGGAATCAGGAGGCATCTCAGTGTGGTTTTAATTTGCATTTCTTTGATGACTAGTGAAGTTGAGTATCTTTTCATGTATCTGTTAGCTGCTCAATGTCTTCTGAGAAGTGTCTATTCATATCTTTTGCCCACTTTGTAATGGGGCTGTTTTTTTTTTCTTCTCTTTGGCACGTTTGAGATCCTAGACGTTAGGCGACATTATCCATTCTCTAAGTATATGTAAACACACGGAGCTTTGGGCCTTCACTCTTTTCTCTCCTCTTTTGCCTGACTATACCAGAAAACAAAAACAGCTTGACACCAACTATATAGTGACCTTCATCAGAAGGGAAGAGGCAGTATCAGTGATGGGCCAGAGGATGCTAGGACACTTCCTGGAGGAGGGAGAGCTCTCCATGTTCTGGAGTAGTTCAGGAGAATAAAAGGGTCCAGAACAGCAGAGTCCTGCTCCA